TATTTTTGATGATTTTTTTATTCCTTTAGTTATCCAATGACAAGATATGTCTTTGGCGTTAAGAACTATTTCTCGAATAGGAAAATTTGCTTCATATATTTTGTAAAATATATTAAAAAAAGATTTGTAGTTGATATTTATATCCTCATTAAAGTTTATATAGCTCCAGTCTTGGTGTAAAAGTTGCTCTTTAAATAAATTTAAGATATTGTTGCTATAAATTCGTTTTTTTAATGTTATTTTACCATTCGTATTTGTTTTGTGGTCAGCGCCTAAGCAGAAAAAAATTGGAAAGTGATCCGAAACATCAGTTTTTATAATACCTTTTTTGAGTGTAATATTGAAATAGTCATTGGTAAGAACGTTGTCAATTAAGGAGGTTTGAAGATTTTGTAATTCTAGTAGGTTTATTTATAATTGGTATTGTTCCCGTTTCAAATAAATGATTATAAAACTTTGTTATATATTTTTTTTTCATTATACTGGAAGCAGTCAAGGTTGAAATCCCTTAGTATATAATTTTTTTTCTTTTCTTGGCTAGTTTTTTCTATTATATTATGAACTAGATAATTGCTTAGGTACTCAGTTCTTCCGGTTGGTGGCCGATAACAGCAGCTTAGTAAAATATTTTTAGATTTTTTATTTATTATTTCAACCGTTAAAATCTCAATATTATCATCAGAAACACTCATATCGCTTCGAATATTATACGCAAGGTTTTCTTTTATGTAAAAAAGAGCTCCTCCTCCACGCTTATTAACATTACGCTCTAAGAAGACTCACTGATCTCTATAATAGGGCAAACTGACCTATTAGTGGCCACGTCCTATTAAGAGCCGCTTTTTTGAGGGCTCTTTTCAAAGATTTTTTAAACAGGTTGATCAAATATTTGGATTTTTTCTTCAGCTATTTGTACTATAAACAATATGCAATATATATATTTAAGCTACAGTTTATAAATAGAATATTTATATTATGTTAAAGATATCGCTTTTTTTGGGGAGAAAAGTAGCCGGTTTTGGATTTTTTAAACATATTTAAAATAGTTTTTATGATGCATTTTTTTAGTTCAGTTATTTAAGAACGTTTATTTTAAAATTTAAGTCATACATTTATCTTTTAAACACTTTGTTGAACTGCAAACAATAAGTTTTAGAATTTTGAAAGGCTTTGTATAGCACCACTCACATCGCCCAATTATTGGCCGTATAATGTACCAATTTGTAGCCATTACAATTTTTCAATATTACCTATATGTTATTTGTTTGTTTTTATTTTTTATTGTAAACTTAGTTATTTTTTGTGCTAATACAAACATAATATTAAGAAATTTATTTAATTTACTCACTTAGTTATTCAAATACCTATTTCTTTCATTTGTAAGGTAAAACAAGACTGTTACAAAACAATATAATAATAACAATATCTCTGAAAAACTCAGACTATTAAAGAAGCAAAGTATTTTAACCTAAGTACTAAGCTTACTTAAGGTAATTATGCTCTGTTCTTTAATGATTTAAATTATTATTGTTATTATTATTATCATATATATATATATATATATATATATATATATATATATATATATATATATATATATATATATATATATATATATATATATATATATATATGTATATATATATATATATATATATATATATATATATATATATATATATATATATATATATACATATATACATATACATATTTATATATGTATATATATAAATATGTATATATATATACATATACATATATATATATATATATATATATATATATATATATATATATATATATATATATATATATATATATATACATATACATATTTATATATATATATATATATATATATATATATATATATATATATATATATATATATATATATATATATATAATATTCTTATATTTAATTCGATTAATGTATACATATTCTTCAATAGTCGAATTTGTTTTGGTATATTTTTTTTTAGCAATAACAAAATTATGAAGAAAATTAAACGTTTTCAATGGTCAAAAACTAACATGCAAAATGCCATTAATGCAGTTAAAAGTAGTTCATTATCACAAAGATCAGCAGCTATTGAATATAAAATTCCCAGAGCAACACTAGGAAAATATCTTCGAGGAGACTCCTTAATTGGAGTTAAACCTGGACCTCCACCAAAATTACCAAATCATATAGAAAAAAAGTTAGTTGATTATGCCACATCTAGAGCAAATCGCGGTATTGGGTTTGGGAAAAGACAATTTATGAAATATGTCTCACAGCTTAGTAAGAAACACCAGATAAATTTTAAACATGATACCCCATCAGAAAAATGGTGGCGGTTGTTTAAACAACGACATAAGACTATGGTTTTAAGAAAACCTGAAGGAACATCATCTGTGCGACATCAATGCATGTCAGTCCAAAAAGTTTCTAAATATTTTTTAGCACTTCAACAAGTTTTTAATAAGTTGGGTACTCATGTTATGCCTTCTTCAATTTGGAATATGGATGAGACTGGACTTCAATTAGACTTTAAACCACCCAAAATTGTTGCAGCACGGGGTGCCAAACATCTTCAGTCTCGTACTTCAGGAAAAAGGGAAACCATCACTGTAATTGTTGCTGTGAATGCAGCTGGTAAAACTATACCTCCACATCTAATACCAAAAGGTAAAACAATAAAATCACTTCAAGCTTTTAATACAAGTGATGCACCAGTTGGTTCAAAATGGAGTGTTAGTGAGACTGGATGGACAAAACAAGGAATAGCATACCTTTGGTTTACAAATACATTTTTGCCAAACATTAGAACTAACAGGCCCTAGGTATTAATAGTTGATGGTCATGATTCTCACAATTCAGTTGAGTTATTATCTGTTGCTATTGACAACAACATTGAAATTGTTGAGATGCCAGCACATTGTTCTCACTGGTTGCAGCCATTAGATCGTACTGTATTTGGTCCCTTGAAGACTTACTACAATACTTGTTGTCATGATTTAATGAATACATACTCTGTTACAATCAATAAGTCTAACTTCTGTGGATTGTTCAAGAAAGCTTGGGATCAAGCATTAACTGCCACTAACATTATTTCTGGTTTTCAATCATGTGGTATCTTTCCCTATAATCCTTCTGCAATTCCATATGAGGCCTACTTGCCCAAATCACTTTACTCTGACCAGTTATTAGGGAATGAGAATTTGCTTAAATCAAGTTTTGATTCCTTCAAAAATGATACCATAAATTATCAATCTGGAATATCACTAAACAATGCTTTTGAAAAACAGGTGGATCTTTATTCAAATTGTACTTTTATTAATGATGTTGATACAACTGAAACTATAGGCATCTTGACTGGATCAGATATTCTGAATGTAGATTTAGCTCAGCTGGATAATGACACAGCATTAATGTTATGGAATAGTTGTTTAACTCCAGAGCATCTGACTGCTTTTAATTTCTGTTATCAAAATGGTTTTGATATTTCTGACAATTTGTATTTAGCATACAAAGACTTTCGTATAAACCAGAATGCAATCAGTGATGTTTCTTTTGATCTCTCATTAAGAGAAGCTGCTGAAACAATTGCTTTATCAGAAGAAACTGATATTCACTCTGTCTCTATACCAAATACTAGTGTTGATTATTATTATAGTCCAATATCTGTTAAAACAGATTCACTGAAAAGCACCATTGACAATGATCATGATGTTATCTCTTACCCAAATTTTCATGTCAATAAGTCAAAAAACAATAGAAATACTAAACAAAAGTATTTTGTTCTAACTTCTCCTGAAGCTATGCAAGCCAAGTTAAATGATCTAAAAAAGAAAGAGGAAAAAGTTGAGGCTGCAAAAATAAAAAAATTGAAGCAACTTGATGCAAAAGAAAAGAGATTAAAACTGCAACAGGACAGAGAATTAAAAAGGCAACTGAAACATATTGATTTTGTTATTAATAAGTGAACAAGTTAATATTTTTTATCAAATTTTGTTAGTACTTTTTGATGTATTTCTTGAGTTTTGATTGTTAAAATTTCTTTGAATCAATATACAGTTTTACAAATAATTTATTTTAACCATTGTTGAAGGGGTACTTATGTCTAAGCTAGTTATTATTGAGTAATTATAACGTTTAAAAAATTTTAAAAATTTGATGTGTAACAGTTAATAATCAATATTTAATTAGTTTATATTGATTATTTACATTTTAAAGCCTTTTTTTTTTATTCATTATAAATCTTATTAAAATTAAATTATTTTCACAACATTTTAACCTGTGGCAAAGTTAGTAGAATCTAATATTTCAATAAAAAGTGAACTGGCTCATAATTAGTCAACCCGGCCATTAATTGGTGTTTATTCAAAATTTTAATTCAAATGAATTGTTTACATTGTTGTTTTTTTATATTTTGGTAACAATTACTCAAAATAAATTAAAAGAATGTCTATTATTAAGTATAGCAAAAAAAAATTTAAATCTGACAATATTACTGTGTTCAGAGTGCCTTTAAAAAAAGATGTGGCCATTAATTGGTCAGTTTGCCCTAATTATTAAAATAATAATTATATAATTATTATAGAGATCAGTGAAAAGACTGTATTAAAACCTGTAAGATGGAGATTAGAGTTTGATTTAAAATCTTCCTCTGTACACCAAGTTTCAGTTAAGCAAATAACGTTAAAAAAATTTTCCGTTTGACAAATCATATTTAAAAAGTTATCAACATTTTTTTTTAAACTTCTGATATTAATATGGATTATATTAAAATAATCACGATTATCATTATTTTTAAATATGCTTTTAATTTTATCTGGATAAAAGTAAGAGCATTCGAATTTTGATCCATTAATCTCATTAAAATAATTAATATCTGGATCAGATTCATTGTCTAAATTAAAAGTATTTGTTTGAAATAAATTTGATATTTTTTCAAAATCATATCTATATCAATATCTAATGTAACACCCCCCGCAAACACAAGATTGTGGTCATGGTAGGTATTGTAAGTTATAGTACTGCGATAAATTGTGACAGTTTGTTGTACATAAAAACAATAGGATCAGTTAAATGTCGTATTCAACCAGGGTATGAAGCACAAAGATTATTAAAGCTGAATGATGTTAATGTGGTTATAACAATGAAGATTGATAAATCAGATGATGGTCCTGTTTACCAAATTATTTCTTCTGACTTATTAATTGATTGCAAGTCATTACATTCCTCTTCTGTTGTTAAAGATGTTTTTAGAAAATTAAACTTTATTTGTTCTAAAAACTGGTCTGGTTTTCAGTTTTTTGGCTTGGATAGAAGTGAAGTAATCAATAAGACATCTTGTCCAATAATAAAATTTGATACACCATCTTTTGATAACATTAAACAAAACAACAACAGTGTAATAGTTGATTTACTGAATATAAGAAAACGTGGTGCTGGAAAAACTAGTTCACTTCTCAGTAAAAAAGCTATAAAATCTCGGAATAAGACAATTCATTCATTAGTAGAGTTAGCAAGCTATGGTGATGTAAAAAGTTAGTAGTTCTAATGTTCTATATTTTATTTTGATTAATTTATTGAATCTATAAGATTTAAATCACTTTTTTAGGTTTTGTGAGCTACATAATAAATGAGTCACTGCGCTCTTCTGAGACCGCCAGGGTAAATTTTGATTTACTCTAATTTTTTTTGTTTAATTATTATTATTTAGGTTGGTAAATTGTTTTAAAATAATTTTAAAAATCTAAACTAACTTTTATACATACTTTTTTTTACAAAAACAGTTATAACTTATACTTTAACAAATGGGGAGGGGGTGGTAGGTAATAGATAGTATATTTCCTCCAGACCAAAGTTCCTCTGTTAAAACATCTTTTTTTTTAAAAAAAAGTTCCAAAATTTAAAATTTTATCTTATAAAAAAGACATTTAAAAAAAATGGATAGGGTATTACAATTTTAAAACAATTGTTTTTAATCAAGTTATGGACACTAATGCAATAAATGTAACAAAAAAATTAACAACTGGAATGCAAATTCCTAATAATAATACTTTTTAAATAATAGCAATTATTTGATTATTATTGAAAATTTAACAATAATAGCAACACCTACTTAAAAAAAAAATTTTAATGAAAAAATGGCTACTTTAAATTGTTTATAACAAACTCAATTACACTTTTCTTAAGCTGTTTTGCATAATCATTGTGTTCCAAACGACGCTTGTATCGCTTCCATACTTGTTAGTGGTAGTGATGAGCACTTTCTCCAGCCTGCTCAGCATATACACCAAGCCCAAACTGACTATGATGAAGAAAAGGAACAAGATGACACATTAAAATGTGAACTTTCCAGCTAATATTTATTTCATAGTTAAACTTTTCCAGAAGATAAAGCTGCAGTTTTTCCAAAACGTTTTTAAAATCTAAAACTGATTCAGCAATAGATTCTCCAATTACTGAGCTGAAACCTTTTTTTTTAATAATTGAAAACTTTCTAATACAATTAACTACAGGTTGTAGAAAAATTTGGCTGCATAGAGGCTGCACTTAAAATTTTTTTATTCATCTAGTTTTTTTCCCCGCACTTCAATCCTTTGGAACTCTCTCCCATCTTCATATTTTCCTGACTCATACAACCTTCAACTTTTCAAGTCATCTGTCAACCGTTTCCTTGCTCTATAACTCTGTTCTTTTTTTTACTAGTAACTCCTAACTTAATAGTGGTTGCTTGCAGCCTTGTTGGGAGTGAATGCAAATTAAAAAAAAAAAAAAAAAAAAAAAAAGATTAACTTCTAGATCATCTAATTTATCTAAAAGTCTCTGTGAATTGCTACCATCCAAACCTATTTTATGGTAACCTCTAAAAATTATATAGTTTGATTTAAGCCATGTAACAAAATCAGGCCACAAAGTAATTAATACTTTTACAAACATAGAAGTAATACCAATGAAAACGTGTAACTCTGGAGGAGGGATAAGATGTTCCAATAAAGTTTCTAAAGGTTCATCGAGATATACAATTCGAGGCGAAATACAGTTTTTAAATTCCTTCATGTGATTATTTTTGCATCCATCTGCAACAAACTTATTGTAATTAATATCAATTGAACCTAAAGTTCTTTTTTCTCCACTCTCAAGAGTACTTTCTCCTTCACACCAGAGACAAGCATATTTACCACTGTGGCTGCTTAAACCAAATAATTACCACATTTTAGATCAAATGCTATTGAATATTTTACATCATTCAGTGCCAGTGGTTTCAATAGTTTGCTTAGATTTCCATTATGTTCTGAAACATCTTTAACTAAAGCTAAAACCAATGATCTTTTTACACCAGAATCATCTAGACTTTCTGAAGTTGTATTTTTCCATAACGGATCAAAAACGTTTACAATACATTTAAGAAAACCCTGTCCAGCATCAATTGAAATTCTAACAACAGTGCAATAATGATTCAAACCTTCTTTAATCATGCGAACAATTTAATCAGAAGTATCTTTTACAAATACCAAACTGGGACTTATCTCTTCATTCTCTGAAATGAATGATTCAGTTTTTACATCGTAAAAATCTGACAAAGTGTTATGCAGCTCTTTAATCTAAGTTGATATATTAGGTTCTTACACCATCTTCCCTAAGTTTTGTCGCATATTTTTGCAAAGTAGTTTTGTTTTTCTTTTACTTAGGTTTAGAGTATTTGAGATTTCCATTATAGCTTCGAAAGACAATTTTTTAAGGCATGCTCTGCTATCTTTTTTATCAGGTGTGCCAACAACAACAAGAAGGTTGTTTCCAAAAGTCTTTAAAGAAAACTTATCTCCAGGTTCAATATTGTCCCTTTTCATTTTTTTTTTTTTGGGAATCCTAGAAGCAACTTGCTCACTGGATACATTTCCAAGACCTTCTGCCAACATAATTAGGTTTTTTACAGCCTCACTCTTACAGCAAAAATGGGAAATTCCTTTACCTGAATAAAAGTTAAAAGTATGACAACATTTTATTACTAACTTTGATATTATTAAATTTGTAAACCATAAAAACAATGCACTAATATTGAATTAACATTGCAACAATTTATACAATAATAGCATTCACATATACATATGTATGTATGTATGTATATATATATATATATATATATATATATATATATATATATATATATATATATATATATATATATATATATATATGTATATAAATATATATATATATATATATATATATATATATATATATATATATATATATATATATATATATATTCTTGTGGCGAAAAAACCACGTGATCATTGCGTAATGAAAAACTAAAATATCTACCATTATGATATGGGGGCAAACAAACGCGCTGATTTCAGTACAACATTACTTAAACGCCTTGAAAATGTTTTATGATTATCAAGAAAAGTTATCTAAAAAAGCTGCTGAACGTTACCAGAACAAAATTTAGCGTTATATAGAAATAAATCTGTGCAAATGCTTAAAGGAATCATGGAATTCAATTAATTCATCATTTTGAAATTATTGCACAGTTTACAGATGTAGTCAATAAATAAAACAAAAATATTACATATTGATATTCTAATAACATTTAAAAATTCTATATTTTGCTTAAAACTTTCCTCAGTGTAGTATTTAATCCTCATATTTTTAATATATGTGAAATAAATGTTATAAATAAAAAATATTTTTTACAGTATAATAATGAAATGATCAAAATTACTAATTACAACAATTTGAATTATAACATCGTAACAATATTTATAAAGTTTTTTAGTAAATGGTATGAGGATTAACAATATTATGTCTTGGCTTTTAAAAAATAACATAAATGACTTTTTATCTTCATTCACGAAGGTACTCTCTAAAACCAGTGACAACAGCAGAAACTCTACTAAAGAAAATGGAACATAGTCAACATGCTTTTCAAAATTTTGAAAAGCATCTAGACTATGTTCTTTTTTTTCCTAAAAGAGAAACATACTTACAATGAATAAAAATGAAAAAAACTTAATAAGTTCAAGAAAAATTTGTGCTCAAATATTTTGACGATTCAAATACAAAACTTACTAGATACAAAATGTTTTGAGCATACTTAGACATGTTTTGCAACCAAAGTTTGTTTTTGCAAGATGAATCAATTCTATATAAAGCATAAAGCCACGATTTTCTTCTCTTTGGATTAGGAAGCAAATTATAAAAAATCAAGTTCGGATGACTATTACCATTAATTGAACAATTAAAAACACATTTCTCCATTTTCAAGCGCTTTGTTTGCCCCCATATCATAATGGTAGCCGTTTAGTTATTTAAAGTGACGTCACGTTCGCCGCAAGTATATATATATATATATATATATATATATATATATATATATATATATATATATATATATATATATATATATATATATAATTCTAAAAGTATATGTTATTATATATTATAGAAAATTTAATTATTTTTAAAAAATTGAAAATAAAAACAGTTCAACACTTCAAATTTGCTGAGAAATACCTATTGAAGAAAAGCATGAAGGACATATCTTTTTAATAACTCTATCGTTGACCTCTTGATTATCATTTGCCATCTGTTTAGATATTTCACTAAAATCAGATGATCTTCTGAGTTTTTGTCTGTTAATTTTAGATATTTTTTCAATCCAATCATTCAACTTTGATGTTTCACCCCTGTTCAATGCATATAAATTTGTTTTGCAAGAAGTACAAATGTTTTTCGGACAACACTCTTTGTCTACGTCATATTCTCTCCAAAATAAGTTTTGAATATGTAGTTGTATTGCAGGAGTTACTTTAATAAGTTTAATAAGTTGATCCTTTTCTAAAGGCAATAAAACAACAAGCACAAATTAAACATTTTGCTTCAGCCATTTTGACAAAAAAACATGTATGTTTTACCCGAATGCTTTCCGAAATATTGCCGTAAGTTACGGTAACATAGAGTTGCCGTAAGTTACGGTAACGTGCCGTAACACGGTAAAAAAGAGTAAACCAAAACTTACCCTGGCGGTCTCAGGAGAGCACAGTGGAGTGCCTAGAAATTGTTGAAGAAGTTATAGATGAAAATACTGATTTCTTAGTTAATATTGCTGAAAGGCTTAGATTTGTAACATCTGTTAAAAATCTTGATTATCAACAAACTGCTTCAATAGTGATAGATAAAATTGAAATTTCACAAAGATCTTGTAAAGTTTTGAAAGGTATTCTCAAGTAAAATAATATAAACAATAACAAATAACAAAATTTGATTTTTTCACCATTGAACAACAAGTGATAAGAGATTACTTAATTCTGAACTCTTTGTGTAAAGTTTGACATAAATAGCAAAACTTTAATTCTGCGTGACACTGGAGATAATTTTCGTGCTGCTAGTCGTTATCCAACTGAGTAAACTTTTTTTGGTATATTGAATTTAACTCCTATGATTAACAGCCCATATGGACAATTTATCACAACTCTTTGGCGAGGTAATGAAAGTCATGAGAATATTAAGTTACATGTGCAAAAAGTATACACAGATTTGACAAATCTAGTTAAAAATGGATTAACAGTGTGTATTAATGGTAGTAAAACTGAACACTTTAATGTGGTTTTATTTCTAGTTGCAGATCTTAGTTTTGTTAACGAAGTTATTGGTAAATGCTCCAGTAATCAAACATATGGTTACAATCATTGCAAGTTGCAAATTTATGACT